AAGTGATTAGTCAGTAAACTATTTTACTCGTTGATATCTTCGCAAAATATTTGCATATATATTGACGCTCTCCAAGCACCAGTTTTAATATTTTTTCTTATATTTATAGGTATCAAACATTCACACAGGCTTATAAGGTTATTATAAATTTTTTTTATTAACTATTTAGAAACTCTTTTTGGGGCGGTTTATCTAAGTATTGGGTTCCGACGCTGAGCCAGTCGAATAAAAACGCATTAGTATCAGCGTGTCTCGCTGCAAGAAACATAGCCGGCGTTAAATTACAAGTAGGGTAACATGGGGCAGCGAGCCCATTACGGGTCATGGGCCCATAGCGGGTTTCTCGCTAAGTATGGCAGATATTGGTCCGTGTTCTCTACCGCCGGTCGACAGTTTCACTGGGATGAAGTGCACGGATTTACGTTTTGCTAAATGTTTGCGTTATTAAGTTAATTGTGAATAACTGTTTTAGCCCAGATAAAAATTTTTTGCTGCTAAATAAAACTGTTTTCGATTACTGTAGATGAAGCTTTTGAAATTACTGTGAATTATATTTTCAAAGCAATATTTATAGGGATAATTTTGAGATCAAGTTTAGACTATTAGCTTTTAAAATAAAATGTTGACACGAAATAAATTGAAATAATACCTAGTGGGGCAATGGGCCCACGCGTGCCACGGGGCAAAGCGCTTATAGAATAGAATAGAAGTGTCGGCGTTGAAGAAATAGGCCCATGGTCTGTTGCCGATTCATGAACTTTTCGTGACTTAATTCACAAGGGATCCGGCCTTTGGAACCCGATCTTTTCATAGCTGACGATTGATCGTTACTTGATTCACAAGGGATCCGGCCTTTGGAACCCGATCTTTCCATAGCTGACGATTGATTGAGATAGCTGCTGGACTTATTGCCTGATCCGTAATTTCCTGGTCCTGGTGAAGTCTTGTGTTATACATCATTAGATTTGTCTCAATGACCTTTTTAAACTATGACTAGCTTTTTGAATTACAAATTACACTTCATATTGCATGATTTTTTGATTTGCCGCCTCAAGGCAGCAGGTTTAGTTTCTAGTTATGCGTATTTATGACCCCTTATTTTTTTTTTCCAATCTCAAGCTACAGCTTGCAATAGTAGTGCAGAAAATAAATTATATGCCGGTATAAATATGACAAGTTTTACAGCAAATAATTAAACAAAACAAAACAGAATACAATTTTCCCCAACAGTAATATAAATATGGAGTATAGGCTGGTATTGATGTAACAATTTTACATAGCAATTTGTCAATGCATAACAGAGCCAAACAAGATTTGATATTGAAAACAGAAGCAATGGTTATATTCAAATACAAAACTATACAGGAGTTCTACCTAATTGGTTTGGGACATGTAACATAAACTTAACACATGACATTTTCAGTATATGATTGATTCTAAAAGATGACAAAATATTAATAATAACAAAAAATAATAATAAGTACAGATGACAAGTTACACAATGATGTAGCCAAGGTTTCAATAGAATAATTCAGCAATAATCAGAAAATGATAAAAATGTTTAAATACAATGCAAGAATTTTAACTACCTAACCTTGGCTGGCTCACAAACCTACTGCCTCTTCTCATGAAGAGAAGAGGAGGAGGAGGGGAGAGAAAGCCAGCCGGGTTCTTGACGCTAGAAGGACCCTTCACTAAATATACTCGTGGTATATATAGTAGTCCAAGATCAAGTAATATGTGATTTATAGGCGATTATTTACCGGTTAACTTAACGGAATCAAGGGCGATAGACACTAGAGATGTTTACTCGATGAACGCAGCTGACTCTCTCCGTTTTTCGAGTCAATTTTGTTATCCACGGCTGCGCTCCCTAAAGTATGGAGTCTCATTTTGCGGAGTAGGACTTGTTGACAATAACTATTTGATGCAGCATGTTGTGGAGTGAGGCAGCTGTGACTTAAAGTTTGTGTGGTGAGATGACTCAGTTACCTATAGCTTCTTGGGTGTGAGACAGTGTATATTTATTGCCTTTTGGGTTACCTACAGCTTCTTGGGTGTGAGGCAGTGTATAGTTATTGCATTTTGGGAGTAGGCGTTGGCGCTAGTGCTTGTTTATGAGTTAAATTTTTGGTCCACGGCTGCGCCCCCTATATATATACTAATATACATAAGCCATGATTGACCTAGTTTAATGTGCTTATCTTCTATTTTGGGCAAAGATCGGTACGCATTTCTACAAGTTTACAAAAAAATGTAATGATCAGAAACGTTACGTGGCTACTCATTGAATTCGTCCCCATTCGTGGTCAAGAATTGCTATTGAATGCGCAGTTATGCTTACTATACTTATTCCCTATTTTTGGCAAAGATCATGTACGTATTTTTACAAGTTTACAAAAGAACCAGAGACATTACGTGACTGCTCGCTAAATTCGCAGAATTCATCCCACCACACCAACCCATGGACAATTCGTTCGCCACTTCAGCGTTGTCAGCGACGCTGAAGTGGCGATGTTACCCCAGAATCTGCTATTTGTTCGAACCTAATGATCAAAGCGGCGGTTTGTATTGATGCAGTTTCCCACAACTCTTAGGTCTGAATCCATATAGAGCAGCTGAATATATCTCCTGTCAGTAGTGATGCCATGCAGACTGAGTACCAGTATTTCCTGGGAACATGTATGATGGCGCAGTTGAGAGCCGGCATCTTCATACTCTGTGCAGGAGATGTGGTAATGATGTGATGGTTCAGAGACCAGCACGAAGAGCAGAGAGGTGAAGAGGCTTGATGAATCTGGAAGCTTGATGATGATTGGTGGAGCAGTGTCGCGAGCCAAAGACCAGCGAAGAGGGTCTCAAATCTGCAAGACTGCAGCGTGCAAAGAGCCCATGACTGAACTGATGGCTTTATCATTGCCAGGGCAAACTGACCGCGCACTAACGTCCACTTTGCCTGCCAGAAGTTTCAAACGCTACGATGTACAATAGACTTCATTTTGGAGAAATCAAAAGGTAAATTTCTGACTGGTCCGCAGATGTGGCTGCCTTTTTAGCTACTCTGTCTGCCGCCTCATTTCACTGAAGGCATGAGTAACTTGGGATTCACTGAAAATGTTTCGCTCCAATTGGTATTTGAAGAGGTGTATATAGCTGGTAGTAATAGTTTCAGAAGGAGTTGGAGAGATGATCAGCTGCCCCTGCAAATAACGGCTGGAAGTGTGCGATTGACCGATAGGTATTTCATAGCTTAGATGATGCCAAAAAGTTCAACAGCAACGATTGTGTGGCCAGGATCCAGGCGGGATAAGGACGGAATTGCCATTCCCGTGCCTACAGATTGTGGTGCCCAGCTGATAAGGAGCCATCAGTAGAGATAAGGCAAATCTCGGGAATCGAGTGGCACATATGTGGTCGAAGATCTCTGTTACTGCTCCATCCGCCTCTCGAGAGAGGCGATTGAAGAAGTCGAGGTGTATCACCGGGGTAAGGCAATCCATGGAAGAAGGTGAGGGGTGATGCAGGAGTGCCGGGAGGGCAAACTGGTATCTAGAGAAGACGTCCGGGACTCGTCAGTGTAATGGAATTCGAATTTTGTAAGGTCGGGTGCCGGTCACGGCGGTAGAGGGTGTGCACTGGGTAGACTGGGTGACGATTCTGCAGCTGCAGATAAAACAGGGCTATGCCGGGGTTCGGTGAATTTCTGATGGAATAAATCCAGCTTCGCAGTAAAGCGAAGGCAGAGTGGTAGATCTATATGATCCAACGATCAGACGTACTGCAGTGAGGGTGAACTACATCAAGCTTTGACAGAAATGTTGGCGATGCTGATGAGCATATTAGCAGTCCGAAGTCAGTGTAGCTTTGAATGTAGGTCTGGAGAAGCAGAGGTTCTTTCGATTCAATTCCTTGTGCTCAATAATAGCTCAAGACCGACCTCAAATCCCAATTTCTTCTTCAATTCAAATCCCAAATCTGGGCTCTGTTCAGCACCGGCGACATTCCAAACACGCCATGGAAGGTGGCCGAATTCGTTCCACATGGAAAGAGCTTTTGTACGTAAGTCGTCCTGCCCTAAGATCTGTAGAAGAATATTTATCTATTGCATGCTTGGACCACAAATATAACTGTAAATTGAAAAATGCATCAAAAATTCGCCACAAGTGTGACATGTTTGGTGACAGCTCAATGCTATGCTTTGGTGACAGCTCAATTTTTCCTTGAAAGCGGTTAAATTTATTAATCCCGCTGTTACAGCGCACGACCTTTCCTCGAGGCGTTGTAAAACGTCGGCATGTTGTTCATTTTACTGAACATCACGAACGACCTCATGAAGATTTTGTCCCGATCAAAACTCTTCAGACTTTTTATCACCATTTCTCACAAGATTTGGCTACTGCAAGCAATTATGAGGCATTACTCAGAAACGAGGGTTATTCTTTTAGCAAAAATCAATTCATTTACCTCTTTTTTAAATGGGCTGATGCCGAGACGTGTATATTTTATAATTAGGCTGTTCGATAATCACTGGATGTTTGATGGTTTCCGCTTGGTTATTGCATATGATTCTGATTTTCAAAGTAATAAATGGATATCGCGCATCTTCCAGGGGACTAGCTGCAGGGTCAGTGAGCTCGGCTACTTGTTTCGCTGAACGACTTGATCCAACGATCGTGATGGGTACAATAACGTGCGAAATTTCGTTTTCATGCAGAATTAGAGGTTTTTTTGCGCATCAGGTCATGAAGGCAAAGTTTATGCTGTCAACCTATCTCTGCTTTAAATTATCTGCCTTCGTATTGACACACTGTATAGTACGGAGAACCGCTCAAACACTTTACCTAAGATGGAAGATTTCTATACTAATGGGCAGCAACTCTGTTTCTGATTGTTCTCAGTCGCTTTTTATTTAGGCTTTTTAGTCACGTTATGTCTGCAAACAATTCTCTTCCACGACCTCTGTGACGTAATGTTTCTTTGGCAAAAGTAACGCAATAAAAGACAGTGACGAAGGAGTTAATTCACAGATGTCACGGAAAACATGATACAAATCAATGAAAAAGTTTAACTATCACTCCTGAAGATGAGAGACAGAGATGACTGCACTGAGGAAGAAAGTATAGCTTCTTAAAGTACGACAAATAATCATTGCAAATACGACTAGCGCAGTTGCTTACTCAAAGCGACGCTTTCACGTGTAGAGGTCAGTTAAATTAACTGCCAAATATGGAAGCTTGACTAGAAATTTGCTCACTACAGTGTAACTTAACAACTATAAGAGTGCCATAATATTGGGCGGCTCCAATTGCACGCGCAAAAATGAAAATTGCCACGAATTCAACTGTTACGGTCAACAAAATATTTGTTAATAAATGCAGAATGTTCAAAGTGATCGAAAAATGTATGCAGTAGGACTTCACGACTAAGCGCTGTTACCAGCAATTAAAATATAATAATTATACCGTAGTACTTGTGGAATCACGAGGCTTATGCGCTGGAAGCTTTAAGGACTAAGCTATCACTTAACTTAAATTATATTATCCAACAGCAACTGTAAGTGACAATTATCTCTACATCTATGACTACGCTGCAAAGTCCTGTTACCAAACAAGTGTTTAAAACATAGCTTATAAACGCAGCCTAAAACCTCATGAAGTGATGGAAGGTTTGTCCGGGACCCAGCCCGGCTGTTTGCTGGCGACACGAGGAAATTATTACGTGGCCAGGATATACCGGTACTTCAGTTAACATATTACACCTACTCTTAGTTAACATATAACTCCTAATAGTAAATCGAATGTCGTTTCTCTAACTTGAAAGCGAATGGTAAACTTTCTTTTATGCTGAAGTGCAATTTAACACGAATTTTCATCAACTTTGTGATTCATTCGCTTCAATATTTCAGACGTAAGTTTATGAGAGCCTCGTCTTGAGTACTAAATCATCACTGAACTTCAGTGGCATACCTACAGACCTACAAGAAGAACACTAGATAATAACAGTAGGAAGCATAGACTAGCACTCGAATAGGTCTGGTATGAGTAAATTTATAATGGAATTGGTATAGTAAGTCTTGCGTGAAATTTTATAAACTCTTATTTTGCGCGGGAGATCCTCAACACGTGGACAAATTTCTGAAAATTTTTTGGAAATTTAAGATGAATAATTGACAAATTCCAACCATTTTAAAATGTAGTGTGTTCAATTACACAGATAAATACTGCCTTAGAAAGTGTAAAAGTACATGGAACGGCTGTCGAAGTAGAAGACTGTCTGAGTACTATCATGGGTAACTAGTTACTTTGTAAGTTAGTTTATACTTCAATCAGCGGGAAAAATAAGGTAGATCTGCCAAGTGGGAAGCTCAGTAAGGCCAGGAGCAGCAGGCTGCAGAACGAACGCACACAGATGACGAAGGTCGGGTGCGTCTGCCGAGCCACACGGTCTGGTTAGGCACGTACATCTCGGCAGGAATATCTTCTCGCTCCCCACCCAAACGCACCGCCTTGTCGTGCTCACGACCTGTCCAAAACACGAGAAAATAATGCGAATGTTGGAAAGGAAAAAACTAAGCGATTTACTGATCATGATGCCAGTATTTATCTACCACCCGCATACCTAAAACGGTCCAAAATTCAAGTGAAGCGTCGTCTTACGTTGACCGAGAGACTACGCGTGCCACACTCACCAGCTTTGATGGTTGTGAGAGGAGCAACTTGATTGAGGGACGAGTAGCCAACAACGAGGGGCGGCTGCCTCATTAGTAGCCGTGCTACGCCCTCGCACTCCCTCAGCACATCCACGGCTAGCACCTGCTCCCTGGCACCAGCGCACAGCCCGGGGTACGACTGCACCCACTCAGACAACGCTGCAAAGTCTGCACGAGTTTCAGATGCGAATTATAGCTCAGTCACTGACAGCAACGGGCATGGGCATATTATAATCACACGACATGTCTTGTTTGATAAGAATCACTGCGTTTTAATGAAAGGTGATGGTTCATGCAAAAATATTGAACGTCGAAGAAATAATGGAATGAACGGGATAACAATGGACATAGAGGTATTGAAACTACTATCTACAGCTCAGTTACATTCAGCTCAGTGCAAAATGTCAAATATTCTCTGTAATTGCTGTCCTTTTCATTACATCATGAAAAAATTGTAAATTTTTCGGTCATTTAGTTCTTGCGGGAAGAGAATAGACACCTAAAACAAACACGTTGATTCTGTGCATTTATTTCACCCTCTATGGGACAGTACTCGTAAATACCCGGCATAACAGCCTACTTGGAGTCGAATATTTCTTTCGTCACTCATCACAATAACTATGCGATGCTGGCACCTTTCCTTGTGGCTTTTTTTTTTATTACTACATCAATGCAATTTCACAGCCTAGGACCTTTAAGCAGCTGCTGGGCCCCCCAAAGGGAGAACTTTATTTTCTGGACCCTGATGTGCTCGAGCCAGGCGTAGCAGACGACTTTAAGCACAGCTGATCCAGCGCGTCTCTGCAGCTGCTCCCCCAGCTGACTGACCGCGTCCAGCACGGGCTGTAATACGCTGCCTGCCATGCATTATGAAGCAATGAATACATGGTAAATAGCGATATAATATTGAATAACATGTTGATATTATATTGAATAATATTGATATTATTGATATTGTTCAATATTGCTTAAACTGCAAGTTAACATACATTTTTGGGGGAAAAAATACTAGAAACCAGCTCCATCATTAGTTAAAAAAATTGGCGAATACATGTTGATACTGTGCGTCTGATTTGCTTATAAATTCATGATAAATGAAATTTGAGTTGAACTTAGAAATACTGAGGACAGCAATGACCATTGTTGCGTTACAAGGACATTACGATTCATTGAAGCGAGGTTATTCAATGACAGAAATAGATGCGATGATGATAGAGATGGTTTCATGTTACGAACAACATATCCAACAACAATAAAATTTTATGAATGCTAAAGCCACTTTTATGGAGCTTAGTTTCATGGCATTATTCTGCCTCACTGATTAAATAATAAAATAATTTTGATAATAGGTAATAAAATGCTCATTGACGGAGAAGTAATTTTAAATCACCCTTGAATAAAAGGTTACCTCCATGAAGTAACCTGGAATAATAATTTGAAAAATAATGAAGACAAAATGAATAAAAAAAACATTAACGAATCTCACTGTCAGAAGGAACACAATAATGACGACGCCAGCTCCAAGACAAGCTAAGTGCACGTGATCTTACCGATGTACTCCGCGACATAAGGATGAGGCTCATGGGGCAATCTGCCCACACCTCGCCACACAGGTGGCTTCGGCATGGCGTTCTGCAGGTGCGCCAACGCCACAGTACGGCACACCTCAGACACCGCCTCCACGGCGCCACACTCCTGACGCTGGCTCCGCATAAAATGTGTCATAATGATCATTAAGAGTTAATGTCATGTATCATGATAATTAAAATGATAATGAAGCTATTGTTAAGGACATCCATTTTCCACGCAGGCTCTAAGCTACATGACATGGAATCGGAACTTCCAAAAGAACAGATTTTTTACTTTCTGCAGTAACACCTGATCTCAAAAACATCATTCCCTCCGATTGCATTCTCCCTAAAATATAGAAAATTCCCGTTAAAATTGCGTTATTTGCTAACTTAACTATATTTTCAACAATAGCATCAACACAAAATAATTATGGCATCTCTTACATGGACATACATTTTTCGAATATATATTTACTTCGGTTACCAAGAGACCCTGAGATGAGCTGAACGATCTCACCTTGGCATAAGCAAGAAGGGCTTGCGTCCTGGCGACGAGTTTTTCTCGGTAGGGGACCAGCAGCGCCCGCTGCAGCACGTCCGTCTTCACCAGGTACTCGCGCTCCTCCATCTGCAGAAGCAAAGGCAGATCAGTCGCGTTCCCTTATAATAATAATAATAATAATAGCGGTTTCAGCGTTTATTAGGCCGTAGGCCCGTCGCCCATTCTTAACATGGAAGAACCTTCACAGCTTGATGTAGTCTCGAACACGCAACTCACTGCTCCAATGCTGCTGTGCTTAACCGCCCGGCCTCCTTGCCGATTCTGACCAGAAACTGGCGACCGAACCCGCACCTCTCTGCGCCAATCTTGATACTCTGAACTTTAACTACTGGGCCACTCTTGAGCGTCTTATTACAAGTTAATGTTTTTCATATGCGCAGGAATTTTAATTTTTGTTTCAGTGAAAGTTCTCTGATTCACGGAGAAATATTTACGTTCGTTTCAGTGCCACACTTACAAAACGTAACGTGCCACGCTAAATAATTTAATCGTAAGTGTAAGAAAGAACTGTAGCCCTGAGCAGATGAATTTTTATTGCAAAGAAGATTAATTTTCATCATTTATAAAATCAAAACCAAGCTGAATTGAATCAAGCCTTATGAAAATTTACATTGATAACATCCAGTCAATCGACAAGAATCACCAATGAACGCATCTTTATCTTTTTCAAATCAAATAAAGAAAGCAGAATCATCTCACGATGATTTTATTGAACTGAGCGATGATATGCGGGAGGTCAGCTTGGGTGAGGAGGTAGTAAGGAGCCGTGGTCCACGTGTGCAGCAAACTCTGCGACCGCAGCTGCAGCAAGCACAGGCCACTGCTGCATACGCTGCACAGCACGCTCAGAGACTCGATCTGTGCAGCACAAGAGATGAGTTCAATCTCAATGAATAACAACGAGATTAAAACGAATAAAAACAATTAAACATGAACGATGAGGATTAAGTAATGAAAAATTGATCTTTCTTGGTCTGCAGTTCAGTTGATATGAAATTGTTCTTCTTAAACCAAAGTTGTCTCACAAGCTTTGGGCTCTAATTAATTAAACCTAGTTCTCCACAAAAGCTCTACTCTGCTATTAAGTAAATCAGTCTTTCCAGTAAATCAGCCCTAAGCTACAAAGTAAGTGGCTTCTCACGAGCTCTGCGATGGGCCAATCTTTTTCTTCGGTTTCCGGCTCAGTTTTCTCCACTTGGTTGACTTGCCAGACAAGCTGTTCCAAGGCGCTCGAAAAACCCACTCCTGAAGTCAGTATTAAACATTTAATACAACATTATTATAGTCAGCTTATAATATGCAACTTTTTACAGAATTGTACTTCGATCACGGACCGTAGAGAATTATTTTATCGACAAATGAAATGGATGTCATCCTGACAATTTTCTTTACAATAATTATTCAAGAATCTCCTTCATTACCTGTTTTATAAAATTACATTACTTTTCAACACGTAATCAAAATTACACGCTCTCATCCTCATCGATTATTCGTATTTTTCGTGTGCCTGTTGTCTGGATTTGAACAAAGATTTGCTTCTCATTATCAGGAAACTAATGCCTCCAACGCATGCAAATCATAAAAATGTTTACATTGATAATTTAAATGACGAGTCTTACTACTGTCTCTTGGGAAGCTAGCAGTTAAATCGCAGCTAATAAATTTAATAAATAAATCACGCAAATAATTACTCAATTGAATACATCAAGACATCGATGTATTCATTATCTGTCCATGACTGCACAGATAAAAACATTGAGACGGACCACCGCCGGTGCTGAAGTTGCCGTCGCTGAGGTGCACGGGCGGAGGCTGGCGTCTGGCGTAGGCACCGAGCGCGACCGTGAGGCTCCTGTCAAGGCAGCTCTGCGACACGAGGTGTCCGCACTCTGTTATTAGGCACTCGCTGGCCTCCACACACCAACCCGGCAACACCCCTGTGGCACAAAGACAAAATTATTGTAGTTAGAGAAGTCAATAAATGTAATAGGTGAATAATAATAGTTAAGATCTCTCTTATCTGAGAACTAAGCCGTAATTTCTTTGTTGACATTAATGGCATCGATTCAAAAGTTTAATTAGACAAACCGTAAGACTAGATAGTGGTAAAGTGTCAGCCTTAAGGAAATAGGTTTTGATGCATGACGGCAAGTTATTGATGGAGCCTACGAGTCCTCTCTGAATAATCATCGTTTAGGAATAATATTGACAAAAATTTTCAATGTAAGTCTCACGTTTGCGACGCCATGAAATTTTCGTACATTAATTTTTTTCTGACATGCGATTAATTTCAACAAAATTTAAAACCTTTGCCCGTTAATTAAAAGTGCAGGAACAAAAATTATGCACTCGGCTAAAAACGACCTGAATACCCAAAATAAATATAAACGATTTTAGGATAAAGAAAATATGGTTGACATATTTACTGTTTATCAAAGCAGTGTTTCATATTCTAATGAGATGATTTTCCCGCTTTTGTTTGTAGTCATGAATCCATGCCATAACTAAATGCGATGATATGATCATTTTCCTGCTGAAATATTCACAAAAGCTCGAAAAAATATTTTGACCTCTTCTAGAGTATTTCTGCAAAGCATCCTGCAGGTAGAGAAGATAGTTGTTGTTGAGGGCAGGAGGTGCAAAGAAGGTGGATGTGTCGCACCGCCCTTCTGTCATGAAACTAAGCGTGCGGAAACGAGTCACACGTCCAGCTTGTGTGGAAGGTCTCAGGCAAAGGGACTCCCTCGCGTTACGAGAGCTTGATATGACAGTATTAGTGGAAGCGGAGCTACCAGTAGAGCTCTGAGACGCCGGCGTGAGGATGCCTTCACCAGTTTCATCGTTAGTAGATGCGACCATTACAGTTGGTCTGTCAGTACCCCGCACGCCTGGTATTGCGGCGCCTCGTGCCCCGGTCCCGTGCTCTTGCGTCACCATCAGAGGACTCCACAGTAACAGCTCGTCCACCAAGTTGCTGCCCACGCCCCAGATTTGGTCGACGTAGTAGCCTTCTAAACGAGTCCTGCCCGCTTTACTAAGACGATGTTCTCCGTAACGACCGAATTTAACGAGAGAAGGCACTGGAAAATCAAACATGAAATATTTTAAACTGCAAAACAATATGATACAAAACAACTGCAAAACAAAATCAAATTCAAACTTTAATTCTTGTGATGTAGAAATTCAGCATTGAGCTATGATTCAAATTAGATTCTAACTAGGGATCAATCCTAAGTTGCATATTTTGGAATTACCAACCTAGGACACCAGGAGTGTTGATGAACTTTTTGAAAAGAAGCTGCAGGAGCGCGGTATTCGTTTTTATGAGTCTAGCCATGTTGGAGCTGCTGAGAGGTTTTAAAGCATCTCCACACTCACTGTCTGGAAGATAGTCTGTTCCAGGGAAGTCCTCGCCAAACTCTTGTCTCAAAGCCATATCTAATTTCTTCTGATTCAGTCTGTTCTCGTCTTCTTCTTTAGCGAGCGCTTCTTCAAAAATATCGAAGTGTGATTTACCAGATATGCCACTACCAAAAGACACAGGCTTCCAAGGCAAATTCATCTTCGGGCTATGTCCATTTTGTACAGGGACATCGATGCGAGATAACAAGGCTTCAGCAATGTATTCTGTAACATAACCACATCGTACTGAGCCTACACTTTGCAGAATACGTGACGCAGTGAACTTTTTAAGCTGAGAAGATGGAGCAACCATTGGCTCAGGTGTGAGGCGAATTTTTATTTTCTCAATAGGTGGTGGAGCAGGTGGTGGCTCAGACTGTCTCTTTTTGGTGGATGGTACAGAAAGAGAACTAGTTGATGGAGCATTTAAATCAACATTTTCTTCTTGTACACGGGGTTTTTCTTCTTCAAGTTCAAAATCGGCTTCAGAGCACAATTTAAGTTTTTCAAGAATTGCATTATAGCACCTAATAACTTTAAAAACATTTTCCCCTTTAAATGAGTCAGAAGATTCACTAAAATGCTGTGACATAAAACGCAGCTGACATAAAACAATTTTATCCACACAATGGAGAATGGCATCACGCTGCAAGATAAGAGATTTTCTACTGCTGCGGGCTCTTGCTCTAGCAGGACCATTGCATTGATCTTTGCATTTGTGGAGCTCCAAGTACTCAACATGAAAATCTATAAAATTCATAGCATATGACTTGAGCAGTTGAATGACTTTGAGCAATACTTCTTCATGCCGTCCAATGACAATACTGTGCGTTTTGAGGGAGCTCTTTGGTAATCTGTGGAGAAGATATAGGTACCTACTTATTATACATGAAGTGAAAAAAATTGATCAATTTTAGTACATTTTTACATAAATGACTAAAACATTTTCAGACATTTCCAGGATACAGATTTAATCATTTCACCTGAACACTGCATGGTTGATTTTGACAAAAATCTGTGACATCTTAGAAGTAAAATTGCAGAAAATATTGATTATATGAAAATATTACAACTTTAAAATACCTGTGATTCTCTTCTTTCAGTCCTCTGTGAATATGTTGTAGAGCCAGTAGCAAAGTGTAGGAACCAGAAAGGAAGTTAGAACTTTTGGCACTGTAGTCCAGGAAAATTTGATTATTGTTGCTGCTCTCAGAGCAAGACTCAGTGGCCATAATTCAATGTGTGTAAATAGTTGACATGACTAACAAAATTTCATTTAAAAATTGTCTTTGTTCATAACAGGTCTGTTGTATCAGGATAACAAATCATTGAAATTATGATGAAAACATTTGAAACGACAGCCTGAAAGAGTTGAGGGAGAAAGTTAGTAGAGATGCTCACAACAAAGTAAATAATATTGATAATAATAATCTTCTACAGAATATCTTAGTAGCATTTTAGTAATTCTTCTTTTCATTTTTCAACAAACAGGACATTTAAAAATTTCACAGTAACAACTACAGTTTAGAGACAGTTTTAATAAAGAAACTGGCAACCAGTCAGAATTGAGCAAAAACTGTCAAAAGCATGTCTTATCAATGGGTAAGATAACAATTCAATCTCTATTCATGTCATAAAATTGATCCTGATAATTGATCAAAAGGAACAGCAAAGTATGAATATAGTTTCTTGATTAATTTAGCATGTCAAAAGCACCAGGTTAAGCAATTTAAAGTACCTGTAGCAAGCACCAAGCAATTTGAAGTATCTGTGGCTTCAAATTCATAACTCATAATTTGATTTTAGACTACATATTTTTTTAATCAAAGAAAGATTTTAAAGAATAATTAATTTTCTGATATTCTAATTTTTTTAACATCTTGTAAAATTTTTTAAAGCTATCTAATTGCCAATTTGCTAAATTGTGATGGTTAAGAAATCAAACCATAATTGAATAACAAGTTTCATGACTTGCATTGAATATCCCAGAGGTTGTTCTAAAAATGCAGGTAGGTACACAAGTAAATTACCATTTCAAATAACAGAGATTTGACTTGAGATAAATGTCATTCTAACAGAAAACAATTTGAGAAGCAATCATAGTGAATGAATAATGGATTGCCACTAGCATCATTCTCAATTCATAGTGCTTGAGTAAAGACTACATGGCTAGTGGACAAAAAGATAGATGAAATTGCTATATAAAATTTAGCTAATTCCCTGCCATTAAATTCTATTATTTAACTTAGAGATAAATAAATTTTAAAATGGTAATCTATCAAGTGCAAAAAAATAACTATGTCAATTTTCTTTACAACTTTTCAGATACAGTAAGTCTTTAATGTAGGTATCTTATCATTATATGCTATTTTGTTATAAAGAAATAATGAAGCTCAAACACTGTTATAGTAGAAAGTCATTCCATTCAGTTAGTGACTTTTGTTATTCTTTCTACCATTTGAAAACTGTGATGACTAGTATTGCTTATAGGAGTTCATAAATGAAAACATGATTCATATCCAATTTGACATAAAATTTAGTATTTACTACTGACACTGAGCACTGACGTTTGAGAGAAACTGCTGACATTCTGTAAAAATTTATGAGCTCACTATGTAGTTACATCATGAATAAAAAATTTTAATTTTCGCAGTGCAACTAAACCAATGAAAAAACACATAAATCGTTAACCTGGCTTTAATCTTATACATGCAATATTTTCTCTCTCTGCGAGCCAAGTTGGGGTAACGCTGCTCAGTCCATCGATTTGTTGGTAAACAACTCTGGTTGTTATGGTAACTGATTTGGTGCGATCACAGCTATCATAACAGATTACGAACATTTAACGAATGTACGAATTTCAAACATTTTATTTCTATAAAATATTTCCAGAATTGGCTTATTCGCTGGAAGCTTGGTCCTTTCCATAAATGTGAGGCCCTTCGAGCATGTCTAATTGACATTTCTCATGACTCAGCTACGGACTGCTATGCAAATTATGACCAATATTTATCCCGCGTTCTCACGGCCTATTAATATCTTCGAACCACTTAGCAGATTTCAATGCTACTTCGCTGAAATCTAAAGAAAATTTCTGTTCATGTTTATGTTATGAGATAATCATAAATTTCAATGAACCTAAGATTTCACCTACATATTACTAAAATGATTCTGATGAAACTTACATCGTGAATTAGTGAGGCTTCGGTTGACGTTAGATCCTGAATTTTTTTTTATTTTCTTTTCTATGCAATGTGGTTTATGAAAGTAGATGAGAAGTGTGCGATTTACATTTTAATGCTTAGGTGGCACTGAAATATATTCTGTGAGTGAGCTTTACTGATTAGGCATCAACTTGAAATTTTTCCTTAGCTGCCTGACAACCAATGGTGGATTTAAAATAACACACATCAAATTAATGAGCTACTTGTTGAATGGACGCATATGACTATCCATATGCACAATTCAGGAAATACATTCAAATTCAAACAAGCTTCTTCAGCCATGAAAACAAGTCCCAGCGTCGACAAGATCAAGTTTTTGTCGAAGCGAGATCAAATGTAGAAAACAAACAAGCAAAGGGCGCACACGATTTTTTTTTAAGTTGAATACCGAGTGATCTTTGTTGTTAGCTTAAGTTTCCTCAATAGAAGATATTGTACGTAGTAAATCAGTCAGGTGCTCCAGTAAAATAGTTACTCCGGCTATCATTGCTACGGCAGGCCCCTCGGTGGTTGGTCTAGCGGACGGTTGGCGCGAACAAAAACTGATCCCAAGTATCTGGGAGGACGACGAGCGAAGTGACGTGGCCTCCAGCTAAAAATTTGATAACGCGTCCGGCTAAATCACGGACCCAGGCTCCGGTTGCGACTATTGTTGCTTTGAGAAGTTGCAGGTAACCTGACGTTCATGCTCTAATTTGCTTACGAAATGGCAAGAATTTTGCCTCTAAATCTGTATGATCATGAATTGCACGAATGAATATAATTAAGAATTGTTTGCATGTGTTTAAAACTTAAACTTGATGCTGTAAAAACAGGGTATCGCAGTGAAACTTCCTTCTCTAAGGGGTTAATAAAAACGACACTCGTACAGATATCGGTATAATTCCATTTTTTCCCTCTACGGATCACCTAATCTATTTTGCTGAAGCATTTTTTAAAGTTCTTTCGAAAGAAGTCTCCTAATGTAAAATCTCGAGAGCGCGCGAGTCCCTGGATTTTGCCCCCTATTGTCATTCATTTCTGGCCATCACAAAATATGTTTCGGAAACATAACGAAATTGAATAGTGTTTCCAGGTTCTGAAAATACCCTGTAGGTTCATGAAAAAAATTAAAATCTATTCATTCGAACATATCCACTTAGTACATTCACCTCTTGTCGTCAAACGAATTTTTATAAAAAGTAACTTTCCCTAACGCACCAAGTTCGTGTGAGGCTTTTCAAGCGCCCATCCACAATACCAACTTGTCCCGAATTCACGATACTACTTGGAACTGAAATTATTAGGAAATAATTTAAGTTCCGTGTAGTATCCTGACAAGTAGGTATTGTGGATGGGTGGGGAACCAATGTTCATTACAAAACAACGAGAGATTGACATTTTATACTAGTATGACATTTCATTTTTTACTATTAAAAATTTCACGAGCAAATGCACGACGTCTAATTTGAAAACTGTCTATCTTTCTAAGCAGGGATTCTTTGTCGATGAAGCCTTTGAACATATTTATTCGTTCTATATGGAAAGACTATAAGACAGAGGGATTTTCACAATTCATTGATTATCAAGGACGAGAAACACATGGTTCATCACGAACATTGATAAAGAAAATTCAACAGAAGTGCGTTCCCGTACAACTTTGACAAAGGGATTCTGAACATTACGAGACTCAGTAGCAAGTAGTTTAATAACTTAAAGAATGACTTTGTTAGGTATTCGTTTCATGCTGGCGTGGGTCTCAACACAAGCTATGATTGTTCCACACACGTTTCGTCTACCAGCTTTACTGATGCAATCGAGCCACAAGGTCCCGAATATTTAATTAACAAGTTCTCTCATTAAGTTTAGAATAAAGTCATGATAAACAATTTCTCAATAACTTGGATCATTATTGACTTACGGGTTGGATCAGCTAAGCCACGATTCAATATAATCCTCGTAAGAACTTCTCAAAAGAAGTTGAAAAGTTGAACTTCCTCACTTGGGGCTCGAAGCAACTTGGGAGAAATTGCAGTATAGGTTTACCAAGACAGTTAACCTATACTACCATAGTAAGATGACTTAGGAAGTTGCCGCATCTACTGCCAGCTTACGTCATTTGTGGACTTCAAGCTTTCTAAATCACATTTTTATTCAAAATTGGTTGCTCCAATCAAAATCCAGCTTCAGGGTATAACACGCAACTGAGACCGAGTCATTTTAAGTCAATGGAAGCGATGAGTTACGGACGCTTCGGTGATGAACACCACAGTGTGTCGGCTCGCCCATTCTTGGACCCTTTTCTATATTACTTACCCCTAGACAGAACTTTTGTTCCCCCTAAAGGTGGAGATAAGAGCAAGATTATTGTCCCCGTCAGGCGGCCATTCGCGTTTTTACCCGAATTTCTGGGACCCGTTTTTATGGAGACCAGCTTGGAGATCCGAGCCTGGGATGCAAGCCGCACCTTTGCTCTTTCAATTTTTCACCCAAACACCCGTTCCCAAAGCTTCAGAGTAATTGGAACGAGATTAGTTTGTTCTCATCACCCTGGAGGCTAAGTTATATGCAGTCAAATTAATTTTTATGTTGACAAATTTAGAGAACTCAAACAGAGTGGGGAGAATGAAGTGCATCCGATCCGTCATATTTGCCAAATCAATTTAGTTTCGGTTCATGTCGTGCCAAGTAAGCAACATCAATGATTTGTTCGAATATTTTGGCCAAATAACGCATCTTGCATTATTAGCATTTGTTTTGTAAAAAAGCTAGGTACAGCCTATCGATAATCCTGTGCAGTAATTTTGTGAAATTGAAATCAGCAAATTTCAGATAACGGGAAGATGCGCTCATGGCTTCATCTATGTACGTAGTTACATTGGAGTTTGACGCGCTACGCAAAGTAATCATAAACAAATGAACTGAAATTATTGTCAGGATCACGAGCCTACTCACGCACATACTCGGTAAATAAAGATACGTGTTCAAGATGAGCGTATAATAAATAAATAAATACTGCATAACATGGATCAGGCTCAAGGCTGACCAAGTATCATGCATCGGTGGGCACACATCACGAAATTAATTAACAGCCAAGTAACTTTGCTAACAATTGACAATAAATAGAATTATACACTAATTGTATCAATTTCACATAATAAATAATCTACAGAAGAAAAAGCCACAAAACAATAAACACTACACACAAATCTATTTCATACACACAAATATATTTCACCGATTTAACTATGGAATATTAATATTACCAATATTAACTATTCAGAAAATCAATGAATTAAAGAAATTAACTGAGCCTAGTCTTCAATGTTGAAAAAGCGTCTGGAGAAATGCCAATTCAGTGACAGTTTTCGTAAAACTCTGGTAGAATCTATGATATTTTAGAAATCTTCATAAAAGGCATGCAGATATTAGAAGGCACGAATATCTTTCATTAATCCTGCAAAAATAACACCACGCTAGGATGAAATAGGTTCTTCGACTCCCAAGGAAGCTTAACGCCTGGTATGTGCGTGTACGGTCTTAGCAGGTCACGCGATGATGCGGGCTAAGGCGTTAGCTCCGCGGCCGGGGTTGACATTCTTTGTTCATCCTCAACAGGACATCACATTTGCTGCTGGCATTCAACATTCTCGTCTGTTGTTTCAACAAAAAAAAAATTGTGTATCGTTCATGAATGAATGTATAATGGAAAATTTGCCTCTGAATGTCGTGGTGAACCCACAACGACCATTTGATTTTCGTTGCGAAACAATAGTTTCATAAAATATTTATAGATTACAGACATAAAAAGTTTCCTCAACATGCATAACGTTTAAATTTACCTGCTCATCTTCAATGTCTAAAAACTTCAATTTATGCATCAAAAGTTGAGCTGCAACAATAAAATATCAAACAAGAACTTCGGAATCAAGAATAAGTCCCAAAATTGCTTAGCAAATTGCCTCGTCAGTTTACAATCGTTGACACTAACCTGCCTCCCATCACAATGAAGTAAGCTGACATTTAGGATTACCCGATGGTCAATATCAGGAGAAGGCAGACATTGACAACTGATGATTAGCAAGGGCTTGTTGTTGCCAAGTCCGCATTGATACATACACATAGGTACATTAAGCCAACAATAACAACGACTACGATAAAAATTTTCAACAAAAATTAATATTAATAATGATAAAATTAGAAACGGATTCAACATCGAATGTATGGTTAAGATGGTGCAAGATATTCTCTCTGAGAGCATCATGACCTAAACTCGTGTCGTTGGCAATAAGCGCAAAAAGATCTAGCAAGCACAGACTAGGTTTATCGACGGAAAAAATTCCGTCCGGGAAACTCGTACGACAAGACACGTTTAAAATGATTCATGTCGTACATCTTCACTACATCTTCACCTAGAAAAGTGATTAATTTTTCACATTCTAATAACATGCCCAACGTATGCAATTCCTGCGATGCAGCGCACAGAGTATTTTCCCCATACCAACATTTGAGTGCTCTACCTTAATT